TTACATTATAACGCCCCCACGGCTGAAAGGGCGAGCATGTTTGGTGTGACAGGGATTCGAACCCGCGACCCTCAGATTGTGAGTCGAGCGCCTTATCCACCTGGCCATGCCTTATTACATTGCTCTTCAGAAGTAATACTTTTGGAAGGAATTGAGGCCAGTTGTAACAAGGACAAAATTCAGTCCAGTATTTGATTCATGATTAGTTTGTTTGTTTGTTTTGAATTTCGCGCAAAGCAACACGAGGACTATCTGCGCTAGCCGTCCCTAATTTAGACTAGAGGGAAGGCAGCTAGTCATCATCACGCACCGCCAACTCTTGGATTACTCTTTTACCAACGAATAGTAGGATTGACCGTTACATTATAACGCCCCCACGGCTGAAAGCATGTTTGGTGGGGCGGGGATTCGAACCCTCGACCCTCAGATTGCGAGTCGGGCGCCCTAACCGTGCCGGGCCCCATGATTAGTGTCAGTATACCCTTGTCTCTATATGACTATTATTTTAATACACTGGCATATATGTGTGTGTGTGATGATTATGGTTTATTCCAGACTCCTGTGATAAATAGCACCATTGATGAACTGCTCTACTGAAAATCTTTTGGTGAAGTTGGATTTTACGTTTCGTTTTTTTAAGTATGGTTTTTTTTTCTCTTTGATTATGTCGTTATGTGGACAGCTTCTATTGATGAACGTATGCTAAAAATGGATAGTCATTTTTTTATTTTACAACTCTTTGATAGGACGCGGGAAAATTTCACAAATAATTTCAGTCTGTCGTTAATGTTATTTTAAACAAAACAAGGTATAAATAAACCTTCGTTAAGTTTGTTTGTTTGTAATTAAGCACAAAGCTACACATTGGGATATCTGTACGCTACCCATCACGGGTATCGAATCCCGGATTCTAGCGTTGTAAGTCTGCAAACATATCACTGTGCCACTGAGGGGGGGGGGCAAAGAAATAGGAAAAGTGATCCTGTAAAAATAACAGGAAAAAGTGATCCTGTGAAGAAATAGGGAAAGCGATCCTGTAAAATAGCAGTACGATTTTTTATGGAAGTGTTAACTTTAGTCATTTTATTATTGATTTAAACTTTTCGTGACAGGCATTTGTTATTTTGTAGATCTTAGTTAACGTGATATTTCACAAACTAAAGGAAATTTGTATTTTATAATTTTTTTCCCATTATATATTCGCAACCACAGATTATAAATAAGAAGTTCATATTTGTTTTCAAAATGTAATCATCTCGTAATCTGAGGGTCGCGGGTTCGAATCCCCGTCACACCAAATATGCCAACCTCCGCCTTTGCCTGGTCCCAAGTCCAGGATGAGAAAGGAGGAGGGTTGGGCTAGCAACTCCACCCCGTAAAAAACCAACCTGCTACAAGTAACTGCAACAACACCTTCCGTTGGCGAGGTGTTATTGCGGCCCTATGCTCCACTGGGAGTTTACAGGAATTAAAAAAAAAAATCATGACGTAAACAACTCACATCTAGCATGGCCGCCATGATTGACTTTTACGTGTCTGAAGTAAAGTTGGACGTCTATCGCTTCAAGTGTCTTCTGTTCTCAGACACCCACCAAATGTTTGTCAACATGTCATTTTTTTTTTCTGCTATAATACACATTTCGGGGTTCATTTTAGATATTATGAATTTTTTGTTATTATTTTCTAATAAACAGTAGGAGACTTCAAGGCTTATTATAACATTATTTTACGTAGAAATTTGCAAATTTTGACGAAATGTTACAGATAGTTCAATGAAGCCTTCATGGATAACATGCACCTGTGACAAGTAGACAGATAACCTTTATTGAAATGTAACACTTTCGTATATTGTGGGTTAAATCCAAGTCGTTGTTGAAATCTATTTTCCCCCAAAATGTAGTTTCAACACTATATTTTTTGTGGTTGTTGTTGTTGTTTTTTCCAAAGATATTTGAATATGTATCTGTTTTAACAAAAATCAGTTTATAGCAATTAAAATCAGATATAAGAATATATATATGAAATCACAGTTTTCCCCTTTTATTTTTGTTTTAATTGTATCAGATGACTTATATTCTACTGTTTTATTGTGGTTAAATAATCATAACTGAATGTAGTTTCAAAATTAAAGGACTTTAACCGATTTTCTCGAATATTTTCAAAATACATCAAATTTACGGTTGCATTCGTTTACATATTTTGCTGAAGGAAACATACAAAGGAAATAAGTTAGGTTTACTAGAGTCTTCTTTTCCTTTGTGTTTTTTGAGATCCTTAGTTGAAAATATCAAACTTATTTCCAGGAAAATACAACCGATGTAGGGCCAGCTGAAAGAAGATAAGACGGGGGTAAGTTTTTGTTTTGTATTTTAGAAATAGGGCACTAAAGTCGTGTCGTAGACTGCTTTGGTTGTAAATGCTATGGTTTTTCTAAATTCAAATTTACGTTCTTTTCATGATCGTATTTTGGCACACAACCCACATTGTGAATATTTATCACTAAATCTTGATTACGTTTACTCAAACTTTTGATATTTTTTATGGCTCTAAATGAAGAGTTACATGTTTAGCTATAAAAGCAAACAAAAACTGTGCTCTATACATGATGTTTTTCGAAACGCTTTCATTGTATTGCAGAAAATGAGAATGGAAGTCATTAAGATTGTCAAATGTACTCTTAAATTTTTCGTCCAATATTCTGGAATTAAATCTTAAAAATATTTTGCGTTAAGGCTTACCACAACCGGCCATTTTGATACCACTAGACTTATAAAGGTTTCTATAATCTTGAATTTGCTTATTTGTTTCGTATATAAACACACACGTAACTGAATATTTGTTTCATATATAGTTGCCACTAATTTTTACCTTTTGTTTCGTTACAATTATATAGGTTTTAGTACTGTCACCTTTGTTGCCGTTGTTCTCTTAAGTATTAGTAGGCAACAGTTAGGCTTAGTTTAATTTTAATAGAGAGTGTCTCATAGCAGACGTATAGACACAATGGACCGATCCTATAAAAACAGACTCGTGGTTGAAAGTAAAGTTTAATTCATCTGTGTTCATTACTAAACGTAAAGTACAACCCAGCTTTATTACAATAACAATAACTTAAAACTAAAACATACTTTTTAGTGATTTAAGGCTTTAAGTATTCTAATATATTTTTTATTGTTGTTTTAGTCTAATATATATATATATAAACTTTCTATGTATATTTCTACCTATGTTTGTGCATTAAACTTCATTACTATGTTGTTGTTTTTCAGAGATAAAAAATGTAATGACAAGAATGATCTGGAAGGTTCTTATAAAGACATTTTGGGATAGTTGCAGGTTTTTTGAGTATTATTTCTTGGCACTCGTGTATAATGTTAAAATAATGAATAACACACAACGTTAAAATAGGTACACAATTAAAAACATTTTAATTAAGGTCAATATATGACCACTAGAAAGTTGACTCTACATGTTTCGTGTCATATTTATACTTTTTTGTTGTTAAATTGACCTTTCGACCTATGTACAGGTTTACAATTCCGCGTGAACTTTTTTAAAGAAGGCATGATAGAGTGGCTCTGGACTTGTTTGTTTTATACAAACTTTTAGCTCATAGCTCCATCTCGCTCCCCCAGTGGAACAGCGGTATGTCTGCGGGCTCACAACGCTAGAAACCGGGTTTCGATACCCGTGGTGGGCAGAGCACAGATAGCCTATTGTGTAGCTTTGTGCTTACCTTCAAACGCATTTTTTGCATAGATATTCGCCGGTCTTTCATCTCTATTTAATACAACATGATTTTTTTTTTTTTACATTTAATTACTTCCAAGGATTCACGAATATTATAGGCTATAATACCTTTTGCTTGAGCCAATATTACAGATTTTCCCCACAATACCGTATATATATGTGTGTGTGTGTAGCAGAAACTTTATAGTGTAACGTGTTATTAGTCTGATATTTCTAGTAACACTCCCTTCACAACGTCCAAATCAAGTAGGTATAATCACGTGACCTTTCAAGTGCCAAGTTTTTATAGTGGAACTTTTAACATGCCGATCTCCCGCTGTACTGAGCTTTTCCAAAAGATGACTAATAATACATAGTTACTTTTAACTATTACTTATAACAGTTGCGTCTTATTTAGCCGGCTAGGCACGTGGAGTGACTGGCACTGTATCGCTAGAAAGGAAATGACTTACTACAGGTATTTATTTTTAGGCTTAAGTTATAAAATTTAATTGTTGTTTAGTTTATCAAAGTATATTTCTTTTAGATTTAGATCTTTTAATCCAGTGCGTGTTAGCATAGTGTACAACTATGATTTAACCTCTAAACGACCTTGGGAACAATATAGAATTGCATGGTTGTCTTGGAAACTGCTATTTGCATTCCGATGCTTGAGTTTAAACGAGTTTTTGTTTTTCCCATGTTAATATATGCAGTGGTTACACTGTACGACTCTTAAAGTAACTTTACCATCTTAGAGTCTGAAAACTTGAAACCAGTGTTTCATCAATTAATGAATGTTATCACGTTCTAAACGAGTCAGTCAAATATTTCTCAAAAAATAGTTTTCACAAATTTATAACTGAAGATATAACTAGACAAACATCAAGTGTATAAGATATAACTAGACAAACATCAAGTGTATAAGATATACCTAGACAAACATCAAGGGTATAAGATATAACTAGATAAACATCAAATGTATAAGATATAACTGAAGATATAACTAGACAAACATCAAGTGTATAAGATATAACTGAAGATATAACTAGATAAGCATCAAGTGTATAAAATATAACTAGACAAACATCAGGTGTATAAGATATAACTAGACAAACATCAGGTGTATAAGATATAACTAGACAAACATCAGGTGTATAAGATATAACTGAAGATATAACTAGATAAACAACAGGTGTATAAGATATAACTAGACAAACATCAAGTGTATAAGATATAACTGAAGATATAACTAGACAAACATCAAGTGTATAAGATATAACTAGACAAACATCAAGTGTATAAAATATAACTAGACAAACATCAAGTGTATAAAATATAACTAGACAAACATCAGGTGTATAAGATATAACTAGACAAACATCAGGTGTATAAGATATAACTAGATAAACATCAAGTGTATAATATATAACTGAAGATATAACTAGATAAACATCAGGTGTATAAGATATAACTGAAGATATAACTAGACAAACATCAAGTGTATAAAATATAACTAGACAAACATCAGGTGTATAAGATATAACTGGACAAACATCAGGTGTATAAGATATAACTGAAGATATAACTAGACAAACATCAAGTGTATAAAATATAACTAGATAAACATCAAGTGTATAAGATATAACTAGACAAACATCAAGTGTATAAGATATAACTAGACAAACATCAAGTGTATAAGATATAACTAGATAAACATCAAGTGTATAAGATATAACTGAAGATATAACTAGATAAACATCAGGTGTATAAGATATAACTAGACAAACATCAAGTGTATAAGATATAACTGAAGATATAACTAGATAAACATCAGGTGTTTAAGATATAACTGAAGATATAACTAGACAAACATCAAGTGTATAAAATATAACTAGACAAACATCAGGTGTATAAGATATAACTGGACAAACATCAAGG